TTCCCAATATCCCACCTGCCCCTCCCCTGGCCCAGCTGGAGGCCGTTCCCTCTCCTCCTGTCCCTTGTTCCCTGGGAATTGGGGACCCCCACCTCCTGAAACTTCCTTCCAGGGAATTGTGGAGAGCTGGGACAGTGCCAGGATGGCACAGAATCCTTAGGGATGGTTAAGGTTGGAAAATCCCTCCAGGATCACGGAGTCCAACCACCCCCAGCACTGCCAAGGCCACCCCGACCCGTGTCCCCAAGGGCCACATCCACAGGGATCTGAAATCCCTCCGGGAATGGCGACTCCAGCCCTGCCCTGGGCAGCCCATTCCAATGCCTGACAGCCCTTTCCATGTGGGAATTGTTCCCAATATCCCACCTGCCCCTCCCCTGGCCCAGCTGGAGGCCGTTCCCTCTCCTCCTGTCCCTTGTTCCCTGGGAATTGGGGACCCCCACCTCCTGAAACTTCCTTCCAGGGAATTGTGGAGAGCTGGGACAGTGCCAGGATGGCACAGAATCCTTTAGGGATGGTTAAGGTTGGAAAATCCCTCCGGGATTACGGAGTCCAACCACCCCCAGCACTGCCAAGGCCACCCCGACCCGTGTCCCCAAGGGCCACATCCACAGGGATTTCAAATCCCTCCGGGAATGGCAACTTCAGCCCTGCCCTGGGCAGCCCATTCCAATGCCTGACAGCCCTTTCCATGCAGGAATTGTTCCCAATATCCCACCTGCCCCTCCCCTGGCCCAGCTGGAGGCCGTTCCCTCTCCTTCTATCCCTTGTTCCCTGGGAGCAGAGCCCGACCTCCCCTTGGCTCCCCCCTCTTTTCAGGGAGTTGTGGGGTGGGAAAAGCTCCTTCCTGATCCCTCTTTTCTCTGGGATGAGCCCCCCCCAGCTCCCTCAGCCGCTCCTGCTGCTCCAGCCCCTTCCCCAGCTCCCTTCCCTTCCCTCCAGCCCCTCCAGCCGGGCCTGGGACATCCCTGGCGTCGCCCCGGGGGTGATCCCGATCCCGGCAGCCATCCCAGGGGATGGGGAGCCCCGGCAGGAGTCCCGACCCGCGGGGTGGGGGGAGCGAGGGGGGCACCACCCGGTCAACTCCTTTTTTTAGAGGCCGTTTCATTCCCGAGGAGTCAGAGGCACCCGGCGGGATAAAAATAACCCCCGGGAGCCGTGGGAAATGCGCTCGTCCCGCGGGGCCCGGCTGTGCCCGACGGGGAGGGGGAAAAACAGGGATAAACCACCGCCAGCCGGGAGAGCAGAGGTGCAAAGTTTTCGCTTTGCCGGGTCTTTTAAGAGGGTGGTGAAATAATTAAACCCGTTGTGGGGTCGTCCAGCCTGGCCTGTGCCCCGGGTTGAAAGGGGGGGGTTCGTTCGACTCGTGTCCCCCTTCCCCGCAGCCTCCCGGGCATCCTGCGATCCCTGGAAGGAGAGCGGGGACGTCTCGGACAGCGGGAGCAGCACCACGAGCGGGCACTGGAGCGGGGCCAGCGACATCTCGACGCCCTCGCCCCCGCACCCCGCCGGCAGCCCCAAATACTCGGGCGAGGCCCTGAGCTCCCCCCGGGCCGACGACGGCTTCGAGACCGACTCCGACCCCTTTCTCCCGGAGGAACCCGCCCCCCGCAAGAGGAAGGTGCGTGGGGGGGCCGGGGGAGGAGGAATGAGAGACCCCCCCTCCGGCAGCTCCAGGCTGGGCACAGAGGGGCTGGAGAGCAGCCAGGCAGGAGGGGAGCTGGGAGTGGGGATGGATGGGAAGCTGAACGGGAGCCAGAGTGTGCCCAGGGGGACGAGAGGGCCGATGGATCCTGGCCTGGATCGGGATCA